ACGCCAGCCAGGCAAACAAGGGCTACAATCTTAAAGGAGATAGGAGAATGACGCTAAACGGGGAAAATACTCCCCCAGTACAGCTCAGAATGCATGCCGGGGGAAAAAAAACAAAATAAATAAGGATTGAATTTTCTAGCCTAAATCTCCAAAGACATATGAGGAGGGGAGGAGGTTTAATCCGACCTCAGATTTACTATTTGACTTCTCACCTCCTGCATGCCCCACACTGGCGACCCACAGGTTGAGAACCGCTGGTCTAGAGCATTGGCAAGCATATCATCCCAGAAGTTCTACAGGTATGAAAATCTGACTGGCTAGAAATAGTAGGGTGTGTGAGTGAGAGAGAGAGAGAGAGAGAGAGAGAGAGAGAAAGAACCTAGTTCAGTTCATATTTGCAACGTTTCACTGTTACCAGACAGGGGTTTTGCAAATGCAGCACTGAGCACACCACCAATCACCAATCTGCTACCTGGTGGTTATCCTGCAGGGCAGATAATGATACCCATTATGGCACAGGCCTTGGACTCATATGATATCATTTGGATGTAACTTGTCAATCAGTGTTGGCCTTGCTCAGAGATTCCGTGCTAACCTGACGAGCAAACACAGCCCTTTCCAAGGGCTTTTTTAAATATATTTTTATTGATTTCAGAGAGGAAGGGAGAGGGAGAGAGAGCTGGAAACATCCATGATGAGAGAGAATCAGTGATCGGCCGCCTCCTGCACGCCCCACACTGGGGATAGAGCACGCAACCCAGGCATATGGCCTTACTGGGAACCGAACCCGTGACCTCTGGCTCCTGAACCACTGAGCCACGCCAGCCAGGCAAACAAGGGCTACAGTCTTAAAGGAGATAGGAGAATGACGCTAAACGGGGAAAATACTCCCCCAGTACAGCTCAGAATGCATGCCGGGGGAAAAAAAAACACAAAATAAATAAGGATTGAATTTTCTAGCCTAAATCTCCAAAGACATATGAGGAGGGGAGGAGGTTTAATCCTACCTCAGATTTACTATTTGGCTTCTCTCCCCTCTCCCCTTACACATCCTTTTTTCCTGGCCGCCATCAGAATTATATTCCCAGATCACCCACTTTGCAGGCAGCTCTTAACTACAACTCTGACCTGTGATTATGTCAGCATTCTGGGTTGAAGGGGCAGGAACGTGTCAGCAGAAAACCAGACACGGGGTTGACATGCAGGTTCCAGTACATACAAGGGTTGAAGGGGAAAAAAAAAGCAGCCAGACAAACACATTCAATTGGAACCTTGTATGGCAAGATCCCTGCTGCAATGGGACAAGGCTCTGGGCCCCACACTCAACGGCCAAGTGTCCCACAAATGCCAGGAGCTGACCTGTGGCTCCTCTAACCTTCTTCTTCTTTTTTGTTTTTAAATATATTTTTATTGATTTCAGAGAGGACAGGAAAGGGAGAGATAGAAACATCAATGATGAGAGAGAATCATGGATCGGCTGCCTCCTGCATGCCTCCTACTGGGGGTCGAGCCCATAACCCGGGCATGTGCCCCGACTGCGAATCAAACCCGGGACCTTTCAGTCCACAGGCTGACGCTCTATCCACTGAGCCAAACCGGCTAGGGCTCCTCTAACCTTCTTAAGCCTCAAGGGTTAGAAGCATTTCCCGGGGTGCCATGTCCCCTAAAACCAGTGACAACCACAACTGCAAGGACCCTCTGCACCTCGTGGCAGGCTTTCGGCTCCCGGGACTTTGCTGGTGCTGTGCCCGCTGCCCGGGTCTGTACTTCTCCTCTGCATCCTCGATCTCCCCTGCAACTCTTCCCCACTGGCTGCTGGATTAGTTGAGACCCATGGTTCTCAAAGTGTGGTCTGGGCACCCCTAGCGGTTCCCTGACGTGGGAACTCGTTTCATCATGATTCTAAGACATCGTTTGCCGTTCTGACTCTCATTCTCTCAGGTGTGTACAGTGGAGTTTTCCAGAGGCTTCATGACACGTGACATGGCGACGTGTTGAAGGCAGAAGCTGCTATGAGAATCCAGCTGCCTTTTACTAAAGCCGGACACTAAAGAGATTTTTGAAAGCCTCAAACAAAGCCACTCTTCTAAGTGTTTGTTTTGGAAAATGTGTTATGTTTCATGAAAATGTTATTTATGCTAATGTATAACAGGTTTATTATTATTAATTTTTAAAATATATTTTTATTGAGTTCAGAGAGGAAGGGAGAGGGAGAGATAGAAACATCAATGATGAGAGAGAATCATTGATCGGCTGCCTCCTGCATGCCCCCCATTG